ACGGAATGAAGGAGATAGATTTGAATAGGAGATGAATTTGGAAATAGGATGTTGAGTACAAGATCTAACACCCTTTCTAACTGCTATTGGCTTGTCTAGATTAAGAATAGGACTAGATGTACCTGACTCATTTTGTAGGTGAGAATCTACCATCGGTTCGTCTTCTTGACTGTGAGTAGGATTCATGATTTTTTTATTTCCTTGAGAGTTTTTCCTTCTAGAGTAGACCTGTAACTCTTGTTGTTTAGGCTCGGGCAGTGTTGCTTCTCCCCCTGTTTTTAGTATCGGTCCATAATCAGGTGGATTTGGCTCATTTGGAGGGCTGGTTTGAATTGACTCAGGTGTAAAAACAGTCGTGATGTCCGAATTAACATCAAGTAACGGTAGGTCAAGAATATCCCAGGAACAACAAGCTTCATCCTGTTTCTCCCCCTGAAGCGAAGTTGGAGAGAAGTAAGGGGTATCTTCAAAGAATGTGACATCACAGGAAACATATGTTTTTCTGGTTTGTGGACAGTAACAACGATAACCTTTCTGAGTTGGAGAGTAGCCAATGAAGACAGTTTTGAGAGCTTGGGGATCAAGTTTACTTCTATTGTGCTCATGAATATGGACAAATGCTATACAGCTGAAGGTTTTTAATGGAAGAGCATTGGATTTAGAAACTTGCGGATAGGTTTTGGAAAGAACAGACAAAGGGGGTTCAAAGTTGATAGGATGACTTGGTAAGTGGTTGATGAGATAAGTAGCAGTTAGGATCACGCCCCCCCATAAGTATTTTGAAACATTCATTATAAACATGAGAGCACGGGCTACTTCCAACAGATGACGATTTTTCCTTTCGGATACTTCATTTTGTTGTGGAGTATCAACACATGAACTTTGGTGTATAATCCCATTTTCCAACAAATAATCACCTAGGATGGAATTGAAGTATTATTTTCCATTGTCGGTTCTAAGAGTTCGGACATTGGTTTGAAACTGGGTTTGAACCATCTTGTGAAAGAATTTGAATATTTGATTGGTTTCGGATTTGTCACGAAGAAGATAAACCCATGTAACACGTGTGTGATCATCAATAAATGTAAGAAACCATTTTTTACCATGAGGTGTAGTGTTTTTTGAAGGTCCCCATATGTCACTAAGGATTAAAGAGAACAGTGTGGACGGTGTGTATGGTTTTGGAGAAAATGAAATGCGAGAGTGTTTGGCTAGTTGACAAATTTCACAATCAAGAGAAATAAGACTTTTATTATTAAATAAAGATGGAAACAAACGTTTAAGATATGAAAAACTGGGATGGCCAAGTCTATGGTGCCATAACATTATTTTCCTAGTACTAGAAACCGACATAGAAGCAATACTGGACACAAAGGTTTGTCGACTCTTCGATTGATCACTCTCAAAGTAATAAAGACCATCATGAATCCTAGCACTGCCAATCATCTTCCCTGATAGTAGGTCCTGAAATTGACATGACAAAGGCAAGAATTTAGCAACACAATGATTATCACGTGTAATTTTACTAACAGAGATCAGGTTGCATTTTAAGGCAGGGACATGAAAGACAGATTCAAGAATAAGGTTCTGAGATAATCTAATATTACCGATTCCAGCAACTGGTGTTAAAGACCCATTAGCAATTGTAACAGTGGTGTGATTAGAACAAGGAACATAAGAGTAAAAAAGATTAGAACCACCTGTCATATCATCGGAGGCCCTTGAATCAATGATCCAAGGATCTTTAGGGTGATTGGAAGATTTTAAAGCTGAGTATAGTTTACCAGATTGAGTCACCGAACATAACCCAGTAGTGGAACTGGAAGAGGGATTGGCTGATTGAGAAGTATTGACGGATGGCTGATTGAGAAGCCTATGGAGTTGTTCAATCTGTTCCTTGCTGAATGGAATAGACGCGCCGGAGGTGCCTGATTTGTCTTGGTCGGATTGAGTTTGGTATGCTCGTCCATCAGTTTTCTTCTGAGGCTGCCAATTTGCTGGTTTTCCATGAATCTCCCAACACTTGTCCCGAGTATGACCAGGACGATTACAGTGATCACACCATGGTCGCTTGCTTGGGCGCTGATCAGAATGATGTTGTCCGTGGGATTTATTTGACACTAAGGCAGACCCTTCTGGTGCAGATGGAGGTATTGGAATGTCATCTGTGAGCATTACCTTCCGACGAACTTCCTCACGACGAACTTCAGCAAAGGCATCTTCCGTAGAGGGAAAAGGATCCCGTGCCACCACTCGGCCTCGTACCTCGTCCAGGTTTCGATTAAGACCAGCAAGGAAATCGAACTCTTTCTTTTTCAAGATTACGCCTCTACTTGACACTACATTCAGCACATGTGGACTCTTCTTCAAAAAACAGATCGAGTTCTTGCCAAAGATCTTGAAGATAAGAAAAATACTGAGTCACCGAATTTGAGCCCTGCTTCATCTCCTTCAGCTTCGACCGGATCTCAAAAATTTGAGAAGCATTCCCGAGATCAGAGTACATCCGGCGGGCTGCATCCCACACCTCCTTGGCCGTTTTGAACCAGAGATAGCGACGGCTGATTTTTTGGTCCATCGAATTGATAAGCCAAGCGAGAACGATAGAATTCTCTGCCAGCCATGTCTTGTACGATGGATCAGTTGGGCTGGGAGCAGGAAGTTCTCCAGTAAGATAGCCCAATTTGCCGCGGCCACAAATAACAATCTTCACGGATTGCGCCCACTGTAGATAATTTTTTCCATCTAATTTGTGGGCTGTAATATGGAGAGAGGAGGTATCGCTTCCGGAAAGAGAAGCAATAGGATTAGAGTTTCTTTCAGCCATGAATTGGCTAGACGTTGCTGATCCAGTATTATCACCAGAGGATATGGCTGTATCGTGTTCAGCCATGAAAGAGACAAAAAAATAGCCCTTTGGCTCTGATACCATATAAAAACCTGAGTGAACTAATAAGTTCTGAATTAATTTATTAATGAATACGTTTCTCTTTAAATAGAGTACAATAGGAATAATAATCCCAAAAAATAAGGAACTGATAAGGAATTGATATTCTAATCCTAAGTTTAAAAAACAAACAAATCCTAATAGAAAATAAGATTGATGTTATCCAAAGTTTGACTAAATCCAATAAGATTTGAATTTTGTCCACAGATTGAATCTGTCACCTTCATTTGGAAATCGCTTTTCTTGTATGCATCTATGAACCAGATTCTTTTTCAAATACATCATCCTTAGTCAAAGTTTTTGGCTGAAAGCGTGCTAAGAAAATCTCAGCAGAGTCTATTACCAGAAAGATTGTCTTGAGCATACCTACCTCGAAATCTTTTCCCCGCTTATCATATTTGCAAGCTCAATTGTGTTTTAAAAAAAAAAAAAAAACACATTTTCTCATAATGATTGTTGATAATACTTATCAAGTACTCCAATTAGTCATGTGGTCCAACAAAATCACATAGGAACATTTCTCTTGATCTCACCTTTCATTTGTCAATCTATTCTGGATTTTCAAGATTTCTTTTTACTTTTGAAGATCATTTTTAGAGCATCAATTCAATAAAAAAATATCTGATGGTTTATAAAGAAATGCAATCATGATTCATGTTCAGAAACTGAGTTAGAAACTTACAGAATTCATTAATCAACTTTGATCTTAGTTCTTCAAGTGCAACAAGTTGAAAAGACGTTTTTCAAGTACATATATCATTCAGTAGGTTTGGATTCGTCTAATGAGCAACTCTCAAACCAGTAATTAGGACTTAGTTCCTTATTCGTCCTGCCCGGTTTTAGCACCTTATTACTGTAAAACTTGAAATGTCGTGCACTCACGATTTATTCTGACAAGTGCCCTTTGTCAATTGTTTTGTGGGGGACTTCATGTTGCTTCAAAATCTTGCAACTTTTGCAGGTCCTTGCAATAACCGAAGATCTACATGATGTTCATAGTTTGGGAAAGGAGGCGGCCGGAGTACATCGCTCTCTTATGGAAGATCTTACAAAGGTTTCTTCACTCTTGTTTGTGTTCTTGTTTCTCTGTGTATGGTCACAAGTATATAGTTTGTTGATTGCATGCTTCTAGGAAAATAATAGAGTAATACCAGCTACTAGTTGTGACTGGAGTAATTAAAGACGATCCATAAATTAGATTCCAAATGTAGTTTTGCGTGTGACTATATAATCTGAAACTTTTAACTGTTGGGCAGGGAAATTCGGTTCTGCTTCCACTTGAAACATTGTTGTCTAAAGATGTAGCTGCTATGACGGATGCTTTGGCTAGGGGAAGAGAGACCAAGATGGAAATATCTCCTCTTCATGGGCAAGCCATATATCATTCTTATTGTTTGAGAATTAAGGAGGCTTGCCATAACTTGAAGCCATTGGTACCATCAATTACGTCGTCTGTGAAAGGACTGTACTCTCTGTTGATCAGGCTTGCACAAACTGCAAGTTTCCATGCTGGAAATCTTCATAAAGTACTGTCTTAATGTTTACCATATTGATGAATATGACCTTAGTACTATACTTTGGCACTAACTCATTACTTGTACTAATCTCCCTTTTCCTGTGATGTTATTTGATAGGCTCTTGAAGGACTGGGAGAAAGCCAGGAAGTAAAATCACAAGGAATAAATCTGTCAAGGTCAGATCTTGCTGTTGATGCTACTGAATTTAATGACAAGGAGAGAGAGGACGTCTCCGAATCAAATGCTGGGAATGCCAAAGATGTTCTTTCCATTGCTGGACTTTCTTTTGAAGATAATGGTTGGATATCTCCACCAGACAGTATCTGCAGTAGTAGCAGTTCAGAATCTGGCATTACCTCACCTGAAGCAAGTTTTCCAGGGAGCTTTAATGATCAAGATATTGAGATAGGCCCCCTTTCACAAGAGGCCAGCAGCAGAGATACGCCAGGTTATCAGAATTCTGCCCCTGTAGGTCAGACTGACAATCAAGAAAATCCACCTTCTGGGCCGTCAGAGTCTAGTATTGCAGAGCTTGGTAACATCTATGCAGGTTCGTTGAATTCAGCAACTAATCAACCGAGTGAATGTCCGAGAGCCATGGCGTTGCCAAGTGATGAATCTGTAATTGCTGCTCCTGATTCTTTGCTTCCAATGAGTAGGAATTCAGAGGAGGGAGTTATGAACCACGATGAAATATCCTCACTGAACAAGGTTAAGATCAGAGACGAAGATCGTGAGGCTCCTTTCCCTAATACAAATGCTGGTGGTCGCATTGGTAGGGGTGAGTATGAATGATAATCGTACAAGTCATCTAAATTCTAAATCTATTGCATCTTTTCTTCCCTGTTGGATAATATCTTGGTCAAATATTCTCTGCAAAGTGTTAAACCTAAGCAAAGATTTAAAAAGAAAAAAGAAAAAAAGAAAAAGAAAAGAAAACCCTAAGAATCACGTGGTTATTGCTATTTGTTGCTTGAATAAATAACCAGAACCCTCTATTTTCTCTCATGCTTGTAACGTTTGCTTTCAACTAGACAAAAATGCTTACGCAATATCAGTCTTAAGGCGGGTCGAGATGAAGCTAGATGGTCGAGATATTGCTGACAGGTAACTGAGATTTTCTTGGAACTGTAATCAGTTATTGGGTTATTCATGTATTGACAATAAACCTTCTTTATACATTGTGGTTTCAGAGAAATTAGTATCTCGGAGCAGGTGGATTATCTACTCAAGCAAGCCACTAGCATAGACAACCTTTGCAACATGTATGAAGGTTGGACGCCATGGATTTGAACATGTGAACTTGGCGTCCATTTGGTATCCACAATGGTCTTTAAACAGAATACAGTCAGGTACTGGAAGAGTTTCATGCACTTTCATGGTGCTGACGCCTTTTTGCGGCATTTTATCCACTTCCATGAAGACAACATGGTTTGGTAAACCCTTTGCCCGTGAAGTATGGAAGCTACCGCACCAATTGGCTCCAGCACAATTTCTTTTCCATCTTGGCTTCACATTCTATGGTTCCCTCTCACAACATGAGGCCATGTCCATTGAGAAATGTACTATGTGGGCCCCTCTAGACTGTGCTGTCCAAGCCCAAACGTGCTCTATTTGGTTCCAAGCAAGCATGTGGAGTAGTGATATTGCTGTTTCACATGCAAGTTTGAGCTCTGAAGCAGGCCAGGACACATTTCCAAACATAACAAGGCTTCGGCATTAAAGTGGGACAAGAGTTTGAAGTGTTACATGCTTTGAAGAAGATTTGTTATTGGCAACTTCGTTGGTATGTGGTCATTACATTGCATTCTGGAGGTTTCTACTTTCGATCAAAGACAGATGATGATCAGCAAATAGGTCCAAATTGTAAATTTGGTCGTTGCAATACGAGGGCTGTATATACCTGAAGTTTCTCGACTAAAACTTAGGAGTCGGCGCTATGTTGCTTTTCGGATGAATATTTTTGTTATCAATAAATAATACTTTTTTTTTTCCCCTTTTGTAGCATCTGGAGACTGGCTTTGCTAACAGTATCCTTTTTTTTTAATTCTCTTTCTTGTATGCATGATGTTGGCCATCGATTACTATCCTGTTGATTGTTAGATCTATCAAAAATTATCTTGTTTTGCATATTTTTTTAATTTGATTCGATTTTGATAGATACACCAGTTAAAAACTAGCCTACTAAAAGAGATCCTTAAAAAATTAAATAATTTAAGGGGAAGTATTTTTCTCATGATTTTCGAGTTTGATTACAAGAAGATGGCGGTCACGGTAGACTTGATTACAAGGAGAAGAAGAGAGAGGTTGAAATGAGGCGTAAGGATATTTTTTAGATTTTAAAAACAAGTGGAAGTGAAAAAATTAGCCATCTTCAGGCAGACTTGATGATCACTAAAACAGTAGGATCCAAAGCAATCCAAATATTCATTCCTGTTTAGTTCTTGGTCTTGACTGTCCCGGCTTTAGTCAACGACGTGAAAGTGACCTTTGACCCCACCAAGAACACCTCATCCGTGCAAGTAAAAGTGTCATAGCGCAAAAAGAACTCCACCAGCATAACCCTAGCCATCAACACCACCAGATCCTTCCCCGCGCACTGCTTGTCGTCCACTGTCGGATCCTCCGTCTCCCGGCCGTTGGACCAGTACACGTACTTGATATTGGCCTCGGCCTTGCCCATGAACCTGTACGGCACGAACGTCTCGGGATTCTCGAAAACCTTCGGGTCTTTTGTCGCGAATGGCTGGTACCCGTAGATCAGCTCACCTTTCTTGATCTTAAACGACGCGTCGTGGCTCTGGATCACCAAGTCCTCCTTGGCCCTCGCGCACTGGAACGGCACCGGAGGGTCGATTCTCAAAACCTCGTACACCACAGACTTCAGTAACGACATCTTCTCTAGCGCCGCCAAAGTGACCACCCCACCTGTGAAGTATAAAATAAACTCGAGTAAGTCTCACGTCATTTAAATATAAAAGTAAATATAAATTCTTATATGATATTTAGTAAGTTAACATTCTGTTTTAACTGTAGTATTACTTTTTTAATAGATTTATAGAGAGTAATAAATTTTTAATACAGTATTTAATTTTTAAAAATTTAATTCAACTGTCAAAATAGGTGTTCTACGATAAGCCAAGGGTCTCAGGCTTCCTAATTATTGTTACCTTCTTGTTTCACAACGTTCCTTATCTCCTTTGCCAGGTTGGCATGCCACGTGGGACTGGCGCGTCCGAGCCACTTGAACAGAGCCGGAAACAGAACCTTCAACCCACCGTAGGTATTGAAGCACGTGATGAAAATCAAGTTGTGACAAGCCTCGTCTCTCTGGATCCCAAAGTCCTTGGCTTTGTCCAATGTAGGGCCGGCCGAGGACGAAAAGGCTTCGAAAATGGTCTTATACTTGCCCTTGACGAGAAAAGCCGGGATAGGAAAAGTGTGGATGAGAAGATCTTCCACGAGCTGGAGAAGTTTCGGAACTCCAAAGGTCACGATAGGTGTCACTTGTGGGACCAACCAAATGTCGACGAAGGTTTTGTTTCCCTGAGGTCCTAAGTCCGTCTTGGACGGGCTCTTGTCGCAGAACAATTCGAAAATGTAGTTGAAAGAAGCGCTGTCGCTTATGGGGTTGAAGTTCACTTCTTTGCTCTTCTCCAGTTGGGATTCCAAGTTGTTAAAGAGATCAGCGAGGGATTTTCTCAACAGAGGAATGAAGTTGTCATGCTTGGAAGCAAGGACATTGAAGAAGTATTGCTTTAGGGCCTTGTGTTTCGGCTCCGAGGGATCGAGGAACGCGAGGACACGGTAGCCCCCAAAGAAGTTCACAGAGGGCATATAGGTGGTGTCGAAGAAGTTCGTTTTCTCGACTTTCGTCGTGTCGAAGAGGATCGGGAAGCTGATGGCGTCGAGGAGGACGACGACCTTGGACTCCTTGGCAATGAAAGGGCCGGGCGGGGCGTTGGCTCGGAAGACGGTGGACTTGTACTTCTCTTGCCGGGCGCGGAAGAAGCCGTCCCGGCCTTGGTTGTAGTAGAAGTCCCATCGATCCATGATGGCGCCGATAAACGGCGGATCGTAGCTGCCGGGGATCTCTTTTAGTGGGAGCTCGTCATCGTCTTGGGGTGGATTGAAGAAGAAAGGTTGTTCTTCGTGGAAGGGGTTGAGAGGAATAGGGTAAGTTGGAGTTGGTAAAGACATGTTTTGATGATTAATTATGATCGTAGTGGTAATATATATATATATATATATATATATACACAGTAGTACGGAATTTTATAGCTATTAGGAGTGGTGCAAAATGCTTAAATGTTAGTACATGAATGTTTAGAGTAGTATTGTGATAGTCTCGATTTATAGATAATTGATTAGGAACGTAACAAATACGGCAGATGAGTTTGTAAACAAGAAAAGGTTGATAAGGAACGTACCAAATATGGCAGATATATATGAGGTTGTAGACAAGAAAAACGTGCTCTCTTATCTCTTCAAACTCACAAAAATCCCAATTTTGAACTTTATTTTTATATAAAAATTTTCATTTTTTCTGTACCCAGTTTCTTCCCCTACAGTTATCACCCTCATTTTTTAAATACTCTTTTTTTTTTTGGGTTAATTTGTACTGTGTCAGGTTGTTCCTCACTAAAAATAATAATAATAAAATGACAATACAAATTAAACCACAAAATATTTGTATCAATTCAATGACATACCCAAACACAAATCCATACAAGAAACCTATTTACAATTAGAAACTAAATTTTAACTTTTCATCCTTTCCTCTTTCTTCTTCCCCTTTTACATCAGTTTTCTGCATCTATCTTCTCTCTTCCCTGAAACTTATCCCAAAATAAATATGGTATTTGTTAGAAAGATACCAATAAAGTCTACTTAAAATTTTACTAAAAGCTGCAAATGGAGACATATGAATGTGCAATAGCAATAATCATTTCCCGCAAACAATTTGTAGTAAATTAAACCTTAGGATTACTCCACGAAAGCAACTTGCAAATTGCCAAAGGAGATTGAAATATATATATATATATATATATATATATATATATTCACATTCAACCAAAATATAAGCAAATATAGCAACCGACTAAAGTGGTGCCTAGTTAGGAATTTCTACCAATTATGGCTATCAAGTATCAAGCAATCAAAGAGTATAAAATTTGGAGAAAACCAAAGTAGTGGTCCCTAAAAGATTGACACGTCCGGGGGTGGTCCATACACAGTTTTCCAAGAATATGGAATGAGCCATTTGCTGCCATTATTGCCTAATAAACAAAGCCATTAGCACAAATTAATCAGATTTTTGCACCCATAAGGCATAACTGAATCAGGGTTGCAAGGGAAAAAAGAGTTGTAAATTTATGAAATAGTCTAATCCAGTACATTAGACAAAAGAAGATATGTGAAGAAAGAAAACAAAACTCAAATTGTTAGCAATTGTACAAATGGTATTGTTAGCAACAAGTCCGGAAATATTCTTTCAAAAATGTGCACAAAGACTTAACACGATCATATGAATGTTTTTGAAGCATCTATGATAAGGTGGTCAGGACGACTGTTGAATAAGTGCCCACAGCTCGCCTGAAAAGACGAACATCACAACAAGAAAACAGCCTTTAGCGATGACCCATATAGAGATGCAGTCGTCGCTTAAAATTTGGAACTAAACATGTCGTCGCTAATTCTTACCGTGTGTCAATTGACTGGAGATGTCAGTGGACCCCACTTCTATCGACGACGTGTTTCACACAGTAAAACGCCAAATGTGCGGGAATTTCGCGCTTTAAAGAATATTTAGCGACAGCACGTGTCGTCACTAAATGATTTTAACAGTGCACAATACAATTGGCAGGTTAGCATCCTAAGGTAAAAACTTGGCGTTCCTAAAAGCGTCAAAATTTTTTTGGGCAGTAAAAATTAGAGCATTCACCGCTATAATTTTGAGAAAAACTTTTAACGACGACATTATCGTCACTAAACATTTTTTGCAAAATTTTATTCCGAAATTGTAGTGAGAAATTAGGGCGGGTCAGTGATATTTTGAGGACTTGTGACTTTGTTGTCGCTAAATGTCTTAGCGTTGGAACGACGTGGTGTTTAGGACAAATAGCGACACGTTTTCGGTATCCGCAATGGTCTTTAAACAGAATACAGTCAGGTACTGGAAGAGTTTCATGCACTTTCATGGTGCTGACGCCTTTTTGCGGCATTTTATCCACTTCCATGAAGACGACATGGTTTGGTAAACCCTTGGCCCGTGAAGTATGGAAGCTACCGCACCAATTGGCTCCAGCACAATTTCTTTTCCATCTTGGCTTCACATTCTATGGTTCCCTCTCACAACATGAGGCCATGTCCATTGAGAAATGTGCTATGTGGGCCCCTCTAGACTGTGTTGTCCAAGCCCAAACGTGCTCTATTTGGTTCCAAGCAAGCATGTGGAGTAGTGATATTGCTGTTTCACATGCAAATTTGAGCTCTGAAGCAGGCCAGGACACATTTCCAAACATAACAAGGCTTCGGCATTAAGTGGGACAAGAGTTTGAAGTGTTACATGCTTCGAAGAAGATTTGTTATTGGCAACTTCGTTGGTATGTGGTTTCTGGAGGTTTCTGTTAGGTATGTTTTTCAGTCGGTGTCACAAGTGGTGTTACAACACTGATTGTGACATTGATGACAGTTAAGTATTTTGGATTGTGTATTCAGTAAATAAATTTGCAGAGGCTATGCAGCAAGATAATAATGATGCAGAAACAGTAAAGACACACGAAAATGATATTGCAGTTTGGTGCGCATACCTACTCTGCGAGGCCACGCCCAGACAATGAACAATCCACTAAGTTCAAAGGATTACAAACACCAATCAGACTTATACACCTAAAGACTCCATCTTTGACGTTGTCGCCGTTGCCTGGAATCTCCTTAATGGCCTTGTCCAGCGAGCACCACTTGTCTTCAAACTGCACGGCGAAATCCCTTCGGCTAGCAATGTGCTTTCTCCCAAAAGCTTCTAATCATTTTTTCGAATGGCGATCTTCAATCAACACATAAAGGCTTGATCTCACATAGACTTTTTTCTGAATATTTCTTCTATGAAAACCATGCCCCAAATGTATCCTTTAATTACCCAATATTTTTTTCAAGGGGCCCAAAAACTCACGTATGCCACTTATGTATATATAGCAAAGTTGCTCATGTGCCTATCCAGATTTTTCTGTTTTCAGCCCTGTGTCCCCACACCACGTTTTGCCTCTGTCTTTTTTTTTTTTTTTTTTTGCCGTTGCCCCTCTAATTCAAAAAGCTCCTCAAGCTTGAAGATTTGCCAGCCATTAATTCTCCCAAAAGTCCACTCTTCATTTTCAGCAATCAAATCCTTTGATTTGTAGTCCATAAACATGACAACAAGACTTTCCTTAAGAGGCTCTCCTATTTGTTGTGCCAGCCAAGCTTCCAGCCAATTTGCAACCAATTTGCTAAAAATAGTTTTCAACCAATTTGTCAAAAATAAGCCAGTACAAAAATGCACTAACAATCTCCCCCTTTGACTATTTTTGGCAAAACTAACAAAAAAAAAAAAACTTATTACAAGATAAAAGATAAAATCCAACTAAGGGGTTATTTGAATTAAGAGTTCTCCCCCGTTTTGACAAAATACAGCCAAAGTTAAAAATAATACTAATAGAAAGACCTTTTAGAAGCTGTTGCTCCCCCTGAGTCCGCTACGAGTCTTACTCCCCCTGAATGTAACACTTTCTTAAACTTGATATTATCACCCGCCAAATGCTTGAACCAGCCACCATTACTACACACATAACCATTAGTACATGCTTCTAAAGAAGTATAAGTCCTATGACACCTTATTTCCTTACCCAAACACGTCTAGAAAATTTATTTTGCACATAAATCCTTGCTTTAGGTGTCCTTCTTGAGTTTGTGGAATTTGGTGGATTCATGAGCATACCTCTCTTCAAAGCATTCAAATACTTATAGCATCTTGCTCTTACATGGCCAGCTAAACCGCAGTAATGACATATGGGAACAAATTTTCTACGTCGAGGGGGTGAAATAATAACCTTCTTACTGAGGATTGTCCGAGGTTCAGAAGCGGGTGTCTCCTTCACAAATACTATCTTGGACGTTGAACATTCACCAGTGTAGCCAAGTCCATGATGATCACAACTTGCTTTTCCTATAGAGAGAATATGATCCAATTTGGTGGTGCCGGAATTCATCATCTTCACTTTTTTCTGAGTGCTCTCCAGTTCAGCCCTTGTGTCCTGCAGCTTTTTCTCATTTTCAGTAGCTTGAAATTCATAGTTAACGGCAGCCCTCTTAAGCACATCGTTCTCTTTAATAAGCTCATCAACTCGCTCTCGTAGAGACTTATTCATTTCACACACTTTAACCCATTTGCTTAACATGGTCTTATAGGATTCTTGTATGGCATCAATAGTCAACTCCTCACCATCACTGTTACTTTCAGAATCTGAAAAATCTCCTCCGTTTTCACTGTTCACGAAATATGTTACAGGCAGTGTTGCAACACTGTCTGCGACACCTATTATAACACTGTCTGTAGAAACACCTTGATTAGTATAAACATTGAAAGCAACGTAGTTACTCACATTGTCTTCATCATCCAGACTACCTTCAGAGTCTTCATCACTCCATGTTGCATTCAGAGACTTCTTTTTCTTCTTTAGAGTGCTGGCACACTCAGATTGAATGTGGCCGTAACCGTCGCATTCCTGGCATTGAATACCCCTATTTTTTATCTTCTCCACTGTATTATTTGCTGCAGCTTTATTCTTCTGGAAATGGTTTAAGTTTCCAAAGTTTGGCCTTTTTTTCTTCTTGTTGAAATTCTTAGTGCCATCAAGTAGTGGAGAGTGTGAAACCGAACCTCTTTCTTTTAGAAAATCCATCCCTGCTATAACAGACCAACTCCCAAAATCTCACCAAACAAAGGGTTAGTGAACCACTTTGATACCAATTGTTAGGTCCGTTTTTCGCTCTGATACCAATTGTTAGGTCTGTTTTTCAGTCGGTGTCACAAGTGGTGTTACAACACTAGTTGTGACACTGATGACAGTTAAGTATTTTGGATTGTGTATTCAGTAAATAAATTTGCAGAGGCTATGCAGCAAGATAATAATGATGCAGAAATAGTAAAGACACATGAAAATGGTATCGCAGTTCGGTGCGCACACCTACTCTGCGGGGCCACGCCCAGACAACGAACAATCCACTAAGTTCAAAGGATTACAAATACCAATCGGACTTATACACCCAAAGACTCCCTCTTTGACATTGTCGTCGTTGCCTGGAATCTCCTTAATGGCCTTGTCCAGTGAGCACCACTCGTCTTCAAACTGCACGGCGAAATCCCTTCGGCTAGCAGTGCGCTTTCTCCCGAAAGCTTCTAATCC